TAATTTGCGATAATTTGATATAATTTGAGATAATTTGGGATACTTTGATACACTTTGTGACGTGGAACAACTGGGCGGGCTCGTTTAAAATTTCTTGGTGCCTCGGAAACCTCAAACGAGCCCACCCTTCAAACCTCGTCGGCAAGGGTTCAATGGCTTGTTGGGTTTGGGAGAGATGCTTTGAGGTAGAGTTTAGAACGTTTGAGATAACCTGTATTGAGATGAAACGAGACAACTTGAGATAGGGTTTGAAGCGAGCGTCTAAAGCCGATTGAGATAAACACATGTGCCTTGAAATAACTTGAGATCGTTGTTCATTCAAGCGCATACGCGTGAGGCTCGAAAGAGACCGCCCAAAAATGGCCGACCCCCCCCCCCAAGCCGCGCGTGCCCATGCACTACTGTTGTTGGTTGTTGGTATTTCAGTGTTTGTTGTTTGTTTTTGTTTTGTTGTTCGTTGTTGGTTGTTCCCCAGATAGCTGAAAGCTATAGGGGTTCTAACTTCTAATAAAGAGTGGAAAGTGATTTGCGAGATTGAGGGCCGGGTGCTAGGGGGCATGCAGTTTGGGGTGCTGGTGGATTCTGCTTTCCAAGCTTGACGGCCGGGTGTTAGGGGGCATGCAGTTTGGGGGTGCTGGTGGATGCTGCTTTGCGAGCTTGACGGCCGAGTGCTAAGGGGCATGCAGTTTGGGGCGCTGGTGGATGCTGCTTTGCGAGCTTGACGGCCGGGTGCTAAGGGGCATGCAGTTTGGGGTGCTGGTGGATGCGGTTTGGGGTGCTGGTGGATGCTGCTTTGCGAGCTTGATGGGGTGTCGGTGGATGCTGTTTTGCGAGCTTGACGGCCGGGTGCTAGGGGCATGCAGTTTGGGGTGCTGGTGGAGGGGCACGCAGTTTGGGGGGCTGGTGGATGCTGTTCGCGCGTAACGGTTCGTGGCTGGTGTGTCGTCATGATGTTCCCAACCACGTCATGATGCAACTGGGGTCACTGCGATGCTGCGTTATGGTTTGTGGTTGTAGTGGCGCCGTGATGCTGTCAACATCAGGATGATGCTGATACGCTGTCACAAGATGGTTCGTGGCTGTATCATCATGATGCTGCCTTTACCATCAGCATGATGCTGTTTGCATCACCATGATGCTGTCCGCATCATCATGATGCTGTCCGCATCATCATGATGCTGTCCGCATCATCATGATGCTCATTATGCTGCTGAACTCATTAGGACGTTGTATGCGCGTTTGTAGCGCACCATGCTCAGTGGCTGTGGTATCATCATGGTGCTGTCTACATCATCATGATAATGCTGCGTCATGGTTCGTAGCCGTGGTGTGCTATCTGGGGTCTATGCTGGTGTAGTTTGTTGGTATGTTTGTGTTTGTTGTTTGTTGTTTGGTGTGTGCTGTTGTTTGTTGTGTGTTGTTTGGAGGTTGTTGTTTGTTGTTTGGTGTTTGGTGTTTGTTGTTTGTTTGTCTGTTTGTTTGTTCGTTTGTTTTTTTGTTGTTGTTTGTGGTGGTGGTGTAGTTGCAGTTGCAGTTGTACTTGTAGTTGTCGTTGTAGTTGCAGTTGTAGTTGTAGTTGCAGTCGTAGTTGCTTGCAACTGTAGTTGTAGTCGCAGTTGTAGTTGTAGTGGCGGTTGCTGTTGTAGATGCAGTTGTTGTTGTAATGGTAATAGTTGTTGTTTTTGCGTGTTGTTAGTTGTTTGTTGGGTGCTGATTGTTGTCCGTTGTTTGTCGTTTGTTGTTCGTTGTTTGATGTTGTTTGTTGTTGTTGCTTTTGCTGCTGCTGTTGTTGGTGGTGGTGGTGGTGGTGGTGATGTTGTTGCTGTTGCTGTTGCTGTTGTTGCGTTTGTTGTGTGTGTTGTGTTTGTTGTGTTTGTTGTGTTTGTTGTGGTAGTCGTGTGTGTGTGTGTGTTACGTGTGTTGTTTGTTTGTTGTTGTTTGTTTTATGTTGTTTATATTGCTTACGTTATTTATTAAAACATAATGTACGGTATTCTTGAATGCATATATATGAAAACAATAACAAATACAAAAGGATGAAAATTAAATACTAAAAAATATAATTGAGAATGGTATTTTTGAAAATATATATTATAACAAACATATAAAACCAAATTTTAATAATATAAATTATGTTTAATTTTATTTATTTTATTGAAATAATTCGAATTAATTCGGAATAATTTAGATTTTATGAAATTACATTTTATAAATTGGTTAGGAATATATAATTAAGTTAAGGGTTTAATTTTTTACGATATTTTTGGGAATTATGGAAATATTTCTAAATATAGAAATTATTTGAATTATATATGTTTGGATATTTAAAAAATTAAAATAATTATTGGTAGAATATAAAATATTTTTTTAATATTGGATTAAAATATATTAGAATATTAATAAAGTTATATAATAATTTTATTTTTTATACTTAAAATTCTATAATTTATATATATATATAGTTTTTATATATATTAATTATTTTTTTTATAAATAATAATTTATATATATTTTATAAAATTAATTATTAATTATTATTAAATATAGTAATATTTTATTTTATTTTTTTAATTAAACATTTATTAACTTAATAAATATAATAAAATAATTGATGTAATTAATTATAAAACATAATTTTTAAAATTAATGTAAATTTATTTTTAAAATAATCTAAAATAATATATTTTAAAACATTATATTTTTTATTTTAATAAAATAAATATTATTATTAATAATAGTTATGTATTTTTTTATTATATTTTTTTTTGCAAATTACTATTATATTTTTTTAAACATATTAAATAATTTGATTTTTTTATATATAATTATAATTTATTATTTGGATTTTGATTTATATGTTTTGATATAAAATCTTAATTGTTATTTGAATATTTATATATATATTGGGATTGATATTTTTTAATTAAATAATAAAATTAGGGCTATTTTTAAGCGAACGTTGTAATTAATGAGTAAGTTGAGAAATTTTATGGATGTGCGAAATATTTGTGTATTAATGTATGAGGTTAATGAAAATTTATAGTAATTTTAGTTATTTAGTTTTATTTGTTTTTCCTTTAGTGATTTTAATTTGTTTTAATGTATATATTGTTTTTTTTTTTTTTTCTAAAATATATTTAATATTTCTTTTATATAATTTATTTATTATTCATTTCGAATTTATATTTTATTATAAATAAAATTTACTATTTAATTTATATTTTATTTTAAAAAGGGTGATTTTAAAAATATATATCGTTTATAATGGACGTCTTGCACGTATGGGATTCTTGTTCGAATATATATTCTTTTCTTAGAGGTTTATATTTGTGCTATTATTGGTATTGTATTTGTAGGTTATAACCTAAGATCGAAATCTTAATTTCTATCTTTTTTTTTATTATTTTTTTTTTATTCATAATTATTAAAAGAATCCTATTTAATTCTTTTTCTTTCGTTTATTTTTATGTTTAAATTTAGTGGGTTTGTTTGTCTGATTTTATGTTAAGGTTGGTGTTTTAACACTAAATATTTGGCTACTTAATATAAGTTTAGCCAAAATGAATATATATATCTAATAATATATAATAAATCAATTTAATTTAATTCTCGGTATTTTTCAATATACCGCTGCGAAAAATAACGTAGCAGCATACAAAAATACTCAAGATTTCTGACATAAAAATCCATATAAACAAATTATAAAAAATCATTAAACCAAATATATTCTTAAATACCAAAGATACAATATGAATTCAAAATACTATTATTCCATAATTCATAATGATTATCGTATTTCGTTATACTTTCAAGTCCAATTACCCGGGTGAGCTGCTAGCTTAGTGCACGAGGCTGAAGCCCGGACAATCGCTCAAATGGGTGCCCTGGCAGTTCCGTGTTTCATCATGTCAGTATCAGGAACGCATGAAGGCAAAGTCATCCCGAGCTATACGGTCAGAACTTCCGCTCCTGAGCCAAGCCTTTTTTAACGACACCCCCAGAGGTGTCAATCCTTTCATTAATTTAAAATAAAATCTAAGATTTTATATTATAAATAAAATATAATTATTTTATAAAAATTATAAAATATAAATTATATAAAAATAAAAAATAAAATAAATACAATAATAGCGAATCGTTTATTCATTTTTCATTTAATTATTTTTATTATAGATTGTGTTTAAAATAATATTTATTCAATATAATAAAATAATAAAAAATAAACAAACCAATTAAACTAATTAAAATAATTCCATTAGACTATTTCTTTATTTCTACATAATTCTTTCTCTATTTCATTTTTTTATTTAAAAATTTAATATTTAAATTATTAAATTAAAATTAATTTTATTGTTTTATAAATAATTATTATATATTTGTATTTTGTTATTTTTCTTTTTATTAATTTATAAATTAAAGATTTTTATATTTTTGTATTATCATTTTATTAATATTCTTTTTCAATTTCTTTTTTTTTTAAATTATAATAATATATGTTTAGTTTATTTATTCATATATTATTTTATTTTTCATGAAATTCGGCGAATTATCAATAATCTCCCTTTTTTTCTTTTCAACTTATAATATTTCATTTTATTCAAAGAAATAATATAATAAACAAATGCCATGCTCTTCGTGTAAGCACTCTTTAGAGTCAGTGTTTTCATTTTTTTCTTTATGCAATGATACCGTTATTGATTTTAATTGTTATGATTAATGCTCGTCGTACCTCTCCGGTGTGCTTGGAGTCCTTTCCAAAGTTTCGGCATTGAAATGGGCAATCTCCATTTTTTATCACTGCTGCAAGGCAACGGCGGAAATTTGACATGCATTCCTAAGAGCCGGGTCCCGGCTTGTTCAGTGGCTCCATGCCGGGATCTGGCAAACCACTTGTTGGTTGCAAAACGGCCACAGATCTTTAATGTCCCTGTCTCTCGCACGCAACCACTTTCCTAACCAAGGCGTTTGCTGTTAAGCACCATATGGCACGGGTTCCTCATGCATGATGATAGTAGAAGTCAAAGAGCTGGGCATCGTATGCTCAAAATTGCTAGGGAAAAGCGAAACGTGAATATACATTCAGCCATCTGGTGTACATCCGGTACACTGACCGAAGCACTGCATCTACACTGCAAAGCGTGCATGCTGCGCAGCACGCCTGCCACAGATAGATGAGTTCCGTTCAGTCTTCAGCATGATTTCCCAACTTGGGCTCACTCACGCGCTCATCGGTGGCTCGTTTGCAGCAAATGAGCCCATAGATGGCACGTGGCATCCCAATTTGGCCATGACCTCTGCCGGATCTGCTGCCGCATAGCTCATCAATCCAGCCGGCCACACTGCTTGAGTCATGTCAGGTGCGTAGGTCATGTGGGCGGGTGGCATTGCCGGGGGGCAGAAACCTAGGAAGCCGCTGGGTGCAGCTGGGGCAGGTGGGGCGGGTGGGGCAGCTGGCGCTGCGTGGTCTGGAAAGGCAATTGGTGCCTGGGTTTGGGCCACGTTGCCACGCCGTCTCAGGGGATTTGCGTAGCAATACACACAGCCATGTGGGCATTGGAGTGTGTACTGCCCAATGTCAGTGGAGCGAGTGCACTCGCATTCCTTCCGCTGCCTAAGGTCCTTGGCCATAGACATGAAGACATTGATGCCCTTCTCTTTCGCGATGCGATCTGCCAGGCGGGCATCCACACACCGAGACTGGCCAATCACCGGGAAGTTCCCTCGGTGCTCCTCACGTTGAGCAGCACTCACGATGCCCTCGACTTCACTCTGAGTGATGGGATACCCGACCAGGCCCTTGTCGCCACAGCACCGCATCTGCACTCCGTATCGGTGTGCCATCGGCATGAGCTTGTCCAACACCGCGCACTGCTCCGCACGCGACAACGTCACCAACTCCAGGCCCACATCCCTCATGTTGCGCACGGACTTGGGGTATGCCTGACTCCACCCAAACGCTTTAGGGGCCAACCGAGCCGAATACGATTGCCAGTGGTGAACGCAGTGCCAACTCAACATGTTCACTATACAATTCTGACCCGCAACGCGGAAAGCAGAATTCCTGCATCATGCGCTGGCCTGGCAGAAGCTGAAGACGATGTTGTCAATGCCTAAGCTGCCCACATGTCGGACGATCACCTCGAAGTCGTGGAGGTTGTCCATGACTTGGCCCCCGACGATGTTGCGGTAGTGGACAATGGGATCGAAGCGTGGGATCAGCGCGTGGGCCCCAAAGGCCTGGGCCAGCCAGGTGAGCTGCCCCAAACGCTCCGGCAAGCTGGTGTCCACCCCTGGCTCAAGTGTGGGATTGTCAGAGTTCACCGTGAAGTTGAAGAGGTTCACCGGGTAGCGGTGCAGCACGCTGTTAGGCTTCTGCCATGCTGCAATCCACTTCTTGTAGTTCTTGGACCACCAGCTGACACATAGCACACCCTTGCCAGTCTCCCTGTCGTAGGGCTGCACGCACACAGCCCGCACCACCGGATTCTTCCTGGGCCCGGAGGCTATGTAAAGGAAGCCATCCTCGAAACCAGTGAGATATTGCCGCAGGAAGCCCCAAGGCACATCAGTGCGCCGAGAACATGAGATAAAAAGGGGCGGATTCCTTGCTGCCATCTCTCGGTCCTCCTCCAAGACTTTCATGCCAAACCTCCTGGGCTTGTCGCTTGGAGGCACTTGACGTGCTCGCGCTCGGTAGCGAGGCGAGTCGCTCCGGAAGCGCCGGTGCCTGGCCAGTGGCAAGCGCCAGTCCCGGTCAGCGCGGTCGCCCGCACCACGCGCATGGCGGGCGTCCGAGGCGCCGCGGGCCTCCGAGCGCCTGCGGCTGGGGGACCCAGACCGCGCGCGGTCAAAGTCGCGGACGTCACGGCGGTCACGGTGGTCGTAGCGGCGGTCATAGCGGTCATGGTGGTCGCGGTGGTCATGGCGGTCGTGATGGTCATGGTGGCCGCGATGGAAATCACGGTAGTCGCGACGGCCTTGGTCCTCAGACCTTGCACGTGCTCTCCAGTTGCCAGGTGGACGCTCCAAAGATTTAGCTACACGGTAGCTCTTGCGCGGTCGCTCGGGTCGTCCTCTTCTGCGCTTCTTCTGTGGAAGCTCCGATTCGGAAGACCTGGAGCTGGAATCTGAATCGCTAGAGTCGGAGCCGGAGTCCGAGTCACTGGATGACCCAGATGAAATGCTCTGGCACTCGATCTTCAAGTCTTCGATGTCTGCCATCTCGCAGCCAAGGGGGGCTGTACCCGCGTGATGGAGCCAAAAACGCTCGCATGGGTCAAAGCAGAACAGCTGAGAGTGCACATCTGAGATGGGACAGTTCTGCACAGGATGAACAGCCGTCACTTGCTCAGAGTGTCAATGGAAATTCAAGGTGTGCCTTTCTCCTTTTGACTGCCATCGTTGCATTGCGTTGCAGTCAAGTACTGTCAGAGCGAACCATTTGCAACATCACACCATTCAGGGGCATCGAGCAATCTGAGCTATCTGCGTCTGCTTTCAAGGGTTTTGCGACTTGTGCTGTTCTTCTGCTTCCCCTTTCAGCTTCCTATTCAGAGTAGACCTCGGGGCCTATGTTGGCCGGCAGGGCAACGTATTTGAGCCCTCAGCAAGTTGCAAGCGATCTCCACACTTTTTGATCACACGTGCACAGCTTCGGAGCTACCCGTCAATGAAAGCGTCAGAGCGTAGACCCATAGCATCGCAGTGGCGCCGAACTGAGCGGGCAGCCAGGTTTAGCTTGTGCATTGACAAGGATTCAGGGATCAAAATAGTAGAGCTGAAGGCAAGTTGCCAAATCGAGGTCCCCACAAACATTCGCCTGAAAAGCGGCTGCTGGAAAAGCAGGGCCATGAGCTTCCTAGGCGTGGAAGCATGGCATGTGTGGCAATGGCGAAGCCAAGAGCTCGACAGAATTGGCTCATCCAGGAGACGGAGACAAGGATGCTGAGCGCAGGCAAAGCAACAAATCAGCATAGGCAAACACCAATCCTAGCCCAACAATTTACAACTCGTAATGTTGACCCGGACCAAATTAGTCAACCCCAGTCATTGGGGGTGTTCCCCTCCAAAAGTAATGAATCCCAAACACCCCCTTTTGTTGAATTGGGGTTGTTTAATCCGGGGTCGACATTAATTGGTCATTTTCGGAAACATGCGCAAGGCAGCCCCCAACCAGCCTGCATGGACATATCGCCAAAAGCTCTGGCAATAGCAGTGTGAGCCTGCATGTCCCATTGGTGCAACCCATGCGTTTTTCGATGTTGCAGCCGTGGGCGCCTCTAACATAAGGTCTCCTGCATCAGACACCTGGCGTGAGTTCACAATGCGTCTGACCACCGCTTCGACCGCTTCAACTTCGACGGGCGGCACCCCAGCGCTTGCTTTCACCAGCAGGCGGCGCTCCATGGCAGTTTTTTCCGCCTTCCCCGAGCTCTAGCCGCACTTGGTCGACTGCGTCGCCACCCGGCCTGGAGGTCCTGCACGCGGCGCTCTTTGGCCTCGCCGGCCTTTCGCAAGTACGCCACCTGCATGCCACACACGCGCTTCTCGCAGTCCGTCACATTCTCTGGTAACCCCTTCAACTCTTTAACTTCTTTGACCAAGTGGCCTCGTCAAGGAGCTCTTGCTCCTTCTGGCTTACCTCGCGCTTCAGGCGCTCGACGAAGCTGGCCTCACGACCCACAGCTCCATACATGCAAGCAGCCGACAAGTCCAGGATGCGCCTCGAGGTCTTCCAACTTCTTTTGTGAGAGCCCCAGCTGCTCCTCCAGTTTCCTCTGCACCTGCCGCAGGCAGGCGCGACACACGGGCATTGCCAGGGCTTGGCCTCCCTAAGCACTGCCTCCATGGCTTGCACCATGGCAGAGTCTTTCTCCTGCAGCGGCTCTTCTTGCTCTGTGTGGTGTTGGCCAGTTGCACGCCGCCTCCACAGCACGCCGCAGCAATAGAGCCTGGCCACGGGGCAACTGGTCACTGGGCATGGGCGGCATGGGCGGCATGGGCATGCCGTCTAGTCTGGGCCTGTCCCTCGCCTGCAGCTTCGCCTCGTCTGCTTGGCCAAGGGCGTCATCCGAGAGGCCCGAGAGCTCAGCCAGGCGGCCCTGAAGGCCCACGGCGCGCATGCGTGATATGCGTGATATGCGTGATATGCGTGATATGCGTGATAAAATGGAGGGGGGGGGGGGGAAAAGCGCACCGTTGTTCGCACGAGATAAAAGGCTCGCCTCCAGCTCGGCAATGTGGGCAAACGCCTCGTCAGTCGCCAGAACGGCGCTGCGCATTAAACTTCCAACCCACCCGCCTCATCGCGGCTGGATTTCAACTCCAGGAGCTCAGCCTGCACTCTGCATTCCATTCCGTGAGCACGTGTTGCGGAAAGGGCAGCTTAGCTTTGCTTGAGGACGTGCTTCTGGTTGGGTGCGCGCTATATTTAATATGCCCCTCGGCATTCTTTTTGCGCGCCGTTTGGCTTCGGACACAGCCGCTGCCTGCCGTATCCTCTCTGGCGCCCTCGCAACAGCCGCTCGGCCAGCCGCCAACGCTGCTGTGGCTCGCTCAGGCGCTGGGCTAACCTGGGCCAGGATCGAAAGAGCCTTCCGAGGACTAAGCCTGCAAACCTCTGCCCGGCCAAGCCGACCAAATCGACATTGCGCCTGGGGCGATGTCTCAGGCTCGCGTTGCTCAGCTGGGGAGAGATGCGCGCCAGCAAGCTCAGCCTCCTCTAGCGCTCCTCACATTTCTTGGCAACGTGACGCAAGGCATGGCAAGGCACATGACCACCGCCTCCGCTTCCATCGCCCCTTTCTTCCTGGGGGGCAGCCAGGGCCATCCCGAATGAAGGAACGGCCTCCTCAGCGGCCTCTCGGGCCTCACTCCTTGGCATGGCTTGCCTGCTATGCCCGGCCTTCCATGTGAGGACAGCCTAAGGTGCCGGGCTTCAGCTCAAGCAGCTGCGCAATGGTGTCATCCTGTGCCAATGTGTCCACCTGGCATCTTGCGCAGGAAAGTCTGGGACGCTCCGTTTCCAAATGTATCCCTCAGCTTCCCCTATCCCCACAACTGAGCTCTTGCTATGTTCGGGCCCGATCTTCGTTTGTGCGTGGCCAAGCTCCAGGCTGGCTTTTCTTTTCATGTGATGAAAAGTGCAGTTGCCCCTGCCCAGCTGCCAGTGGGACACGCTCAAGCGTTTTGATTCGCTTGGGCACTCGAGCTACAAAATAGGTCTTCCCTTCTTGCGACGAGGCCGTCAAATGTAGACTTGAAGCTGTGCGGTGAAGGCTGCACCGCCGTGCACGGGCCACCGATCTGCACCAGAACAAGTTTGTTTCGGAAGGGAAAAGAAAAGCAGAAAAGCAGAAAAGCAGAAAAGCACATTTGCGATGTCCGAGCCGAATCAAACGGACACCACAACTGCACACTTCTCCGGTGGCCACGTGGGCCACGTGGGCCTTAGGGCCCCGGCAGCCCGGCCAATGGTGCGCTCGTGGAGCTCAGCGGTCTTGTTGATCGCCTTCTGTCAGCGAATCGTTCCCTGCTTGGCTTTCCACCGCGTTGCTTTCTGCGACACTTTGGAGCAACGAGCGCTTTCTGAAATCTTTTCCTTCTCTTTTGCCGCATTGCCTGCTCCTGCAGGTGCTGCTCCCACTGGTCGAGCTTGGCCAGGTCGATGCCCCTCTCCTGAACAAACTCATCCGACTCCGTACTTCCTCGTCACCAGTCTCTGCGAGCGCCTTCGCAAACTGCGTGTTCGCGATGGTGGTTTTTGCATCCTGTCACTACAACCCTACAAGTAAGGGGGGTGCAACAAAAGGAAGCCGTGCACGGCCGAGCCTTGTTGAACTGCTCCTTGAACTCGGCGAAGCCCTCTTTGAGACCCAGATTCTCCACAAAGTTGCCCCACATTGGGGCAGAACACGCAGAGACGACGCTCAAAATGAACGATGTGCTGCTTGCTTCTGCTTGCTGCTTCTTTCTTGTTCCTACTTGCTGCCACTTGCTGCCAAGCTTGCTGAAAAGCAGCTCGGCCTATGCTCCTCATGTTCAATGCCTTGCTAGGAGCCGAACTCAGGGCCCACAGCGGGGTCGCGCTCCAAGACATATGTCCGGCTGGCAATCCGCGATGGCAAGTGCAAAGCCACGCAAAGCCGCGCAAAGCCACCTTTGCTCCGGCAAACTGCGAGCTTGTGCTCCGGTTGTCAAGTGGCTTCGCGGCCTTCCAAGCGCTTGGCTTCTGGGCAGTTTGTCATCTCGGATTCCTTGCTTTGACGCGGCCAGTGCAGTCAGCGCGTTGTACGTAGAGTGCTGGCCAGTCTTTGCATCTAGGGAAGTCCGTCTGGCAGGTCCGACTTGCTCTCACCTCTCCTCGGGGGTTATGAAGTGAGAGCAAAGGCCAGTGGTGAGCCACCTGGCCAAGTGGCACGCTTCGACTCCTTAATGATTACCTGCGCCTGCACAGTGCAGCTACATGCCAAAAGCATGCAAAAGCATGCAACAAAAGCAACTATTCTACAAAAACCGACGATCCAGTCTCACCAATTGATTTTCCAGCACGTCCCGCGCCTTCGGGATCCAAGGCGAACACACCGAAGAAACAGCTCCGCTGAATACTCCGCTGCTGGGCAGAGATTGAAGACTGTTGCCTGGCAAATTGAGAGCCCATGAGTTGCTGCCTACATCTAAGTAGCTAAAGGTGGATATTTGACAGGCCACTGGCCCATTGCTTGGCAAAGTTTGCCCGCGCGGCCAAAACAGAGGCATGTTTCGCTGCCCAGGCTGCCCTCCATATTTTACGGGTCTGCATGAAGCTGCTGGTGGGATTTTGTGCGCTATCTTAGGTGAGGGTCGTATCGCCTCCTCGGCCTCCAAATGGCCTCCAATGGAACATGCTTGCAGGGAATTCCAAGTGGTGGTGCGGCGGCGTTGCACTCATGTGCAGCTTACACCAGGAATCTGCTAACGAATGCTTAGGCATACTTGCGTGCTTGCGCGGTATTTGGGCACAGGGGGCAATTTAGTTGGCTTGAGTGAGCCGAGCACAGGGGTTTTTGGCGCAGCTCAACTGTCTGGCCTTCACCTTGCCCCTGCCCTGCCTCACAGGGTGGAGGCTTGCCATCTGCGCCTTCCAAAAGGACGGAGGTCTGGTGCTCCGATGTTGCATCCATAACCCTGTGGATGTCCAACCTGAACTCCACCTGTGACTGATCTGGGAGGGAGCTCAGCTCTGGCCAGGACACCGTCACAGACGTCGTGCGTCTGGCGACCACCGTGAGCTTGGCGTCAAGTTCCAGGCCCAGTGGCAGCTGCAGTGCCAGCGGCGCGGTCTCGGACCACTGGGAGCGCCGGCCACGGGCCATCAGCTGCATAGCAAAGACGTAGGTTCTGCCTGGCTGCAGTCCATCCTCCTGGCCCAGCACGTAGGTCCTCGACGCCTGGGGGAGCAGGACCCGCCACCCCGAGCCGTGTCCGGGAACCGGACGGTACCGGGCCCGCACGCCCACGTCGCCTCTCTCGCCTCTCGCCTCCGCCCTCAGCTCCACGCTCAGCTTCTCCCGCAGCGAGAGCTCCGCGGACACCGCGGGCGCCGCCAGATGTGCGGTGCAGCCGTCGCTGCAGGGCCCGGGTGTGCCGTTGGGTGTGCCGTTGCCACACCACCGGAAGCGCACCACGTCGCACGGCAGGTCGCAGGCAGCCACGTAGTCCACACCCTGCAGCCTGATCCGCACCCATGGCCACTCCTTCCACCCAAAGACCTCAAGAAGGGCCAGGAAACAAACTGCCCGGCCAAAAAAAGCAAAAAGCGCACCTCGCATCACCCTTGCCATACCAGCCTGGTGCGTGCGCTGGCTGTCCTCTCGCATCTCCAGCAGCAGTTTGGCTTCTTCGCGGGGCCAAGCCAGCAGCACGGCCCTACCCAGCCAACGCTGGCTGCTTTCTTCGAGCTCTCCGTCATCAGGTATCAGCACTTGCCTAGGGCGGAGTGTTCACCCATACAAAGATGTTGCATATGCCATCGTGTAAGTACCAACTGATTCTGCCTGAGTTGCCGTGGTATAGGCAGGGACCAGTCCACCATGAGGGACCACTCCTCAGACAGCCTTGTGGGCCACTGAAAGCGCGGAGATCGAGCCACCTCCTTGAATCCCAACTGCAGGAGGCTTTCGGCACTTTCAATTTTGAGTGGGAGTTGGGCACGGGCGTGCAGAACGAACTGGTATCTGGTCCCTGGCTCGAAGCCGTTGATGGCCACCTCGAGGCGGTCCCGGAAGGTGCAGCCCAGCCCGGCCGCCTGGCAGCTGCACATGCCCACTAGCTTCTCGGACGCCTCAGGCGCCTCAGTCGCCAGGCACACCACGCATTCCAGTGGCACCGGCCCCAAAGCGCAGTGGAGCTGGGCCCAGTCCAGCTTCACCCTGCGATTCACCGGCTCGGATGCCACCAGCTCCCGGTCAACAGACCACACCTCGGGCAGGGAGATGGAAACGGACTCCCCAAAGTCGCCCCACTGCGACCACATGACGCCGTCTCCCACGCGCAAGGCCGCCGAGTACCGGAAGTTGGTTTTCAGGGCTAGGGACAACAACGGCAGCAACATGCCAGTCGTGCCAGTCCCCAGCTGCTGCGGCTCGGCGGTGAAGCTCGGCTCTGAGTTCTGGACCTCCCGGAACTTGATCTGGCACTGGGTTGCAAGGGATGGCAACCCGCTTGAATCCACGTGGATGAAGAGCTCACCCCGCCAAACCAGTTTGGGCGTCACTGCCGCTGGAGTGTGGAAGCCCGTGCTGATGGGGAGGGAGGGTTCTGACAGCCAGTAGTGCTGTGGCAGAAGCACTTTGGCTACAGGCTCCTCGCGGTCTGAGTTGCTTAGCCAAAGCTTTCAACAAAGCTCCCGCCTGCAAAACCAGGCGCAGCTGCACTTGCTCGGGAATATCGTGGATACCCATGTTCCACTCCGCCTGGCAGGCGGCTCGGAGCTCGGCTGAACTGAATAACTCAACCATTGAGCCACAGGCCGCGGGCCTCAATCAAATCCGACCCTGGGTCCTGCAAGTTGCTGCAAGCAGATCAAAAGCCGCCAAGCTTGCGCAGTGCATTCGATTTGTCTCCGTCCTGTCTGTCGCACTGCAACCGCGCAGCTCGCCAAGAGCCGGATAAGGGCCGCCACTGCAGGCCGTACAAGGTGCTGCCCTGGGCTTCCGTTCGAGTGAGGGTGAGCGAGGTGAGCGAGGTAAGCGAGGGCCCGGCCTTCACGCGCGGGTCCACCAAGATCTGCAGCCTCTTGAATGAAACATTCCTGACAGCTCGAGCGCTCAGGCTGTCAGAGAGGCCTAGCTGGGCCTTGCCGTCCGGGCAGACACTTGAACAGGAGCCAGCCCCCAGTTTCCTACCACAGTTGGCACACAAATTCTGTAACCTGATATACGATGGGGCGTGAACGCGTTGCAAATGGCACGGGATGATTTAGAGCTTTGGCAATCCAACAGCAAGCACCTCAGACCTCGCTCCTGTGGCCAAAGTCAGGCACCGCGACTCTGCGCGCTCGGCACGCCGCCGGATGATGTACCTGAGGAACTCGAGACAAGCCCGACAAATGTCCGTGCCCATGCTGCCCGTCCAGCGCCTGGTGCCACGGGCCGACCAAAGCGTCGGCTTGCAGGTCTCCACCTCTGCCGCTATCGTGCAGGCCGCCTCCAAGGCCTGCAAACTGCGGAGCTCTTCAAATCCGTGTGGGACTTCCGCATTCACAAAAACCAAATGCCAACTTGGCCTGGAGAAGCCAGCTCGATACACAGAATCAATGCAAGCTGAGAACAAGCCTTGAGGCAAAGCTAAGCCATGATTTTGGGAATGATCGCGTTAGGGTCGCAAGCATCACCCATTGAACCAAAAACCTCCAGAAGCGACAAGCAACACATAAACCAATGAAGCGGCTGTTTCATGCCCTTTGTGGGGATGCATTGGATGCATGAAAACACACTGCAGCACTGCGCTCTGAATGTCAGTGCTCCCTGAGGCCCCAAGCCCTTTGTTCCCCTCTGCCTGCACATGGCTCTCCCCGTCACGCCATGCCCATGGCGTCTGAAATGCGTACTCCGCGCCCGCCCACGCAGCACCGAGGTATCGCGACTCCACGCGCACCGTGTACGAGCAGCCCGGCCTTGCAGCAAGCCGCACCCGAGCCCAAGCAACTCCTAATTCAGAAGGCCAAGCCCAAGCTACCCCCCTTTCAAAGCGAGTGAAACAAAGCTGAGTTACTAAGTTGGGCGTTGCCACTTGGGCGTTGCCACGGCCGAGTCTCCGCAAGCTGCACAGCATCGCCCGGGATTCCTCACCGCGCCATGCCACCAAGCGCCGCTGGCCCTCGGCCTCCAGCAGAACTCGTTGCTCAACTCGTCGCTCAGTCCCAGTCGTCCCAGTGGTCCCAGTGGTCCATGTGAGGCACGCCCTGCGCGGGTCGGGATCTTCACCCGGGTCCGGGTCCACCGGGTCCACCGCAAGGCGCTGCGGCTGCGGCGCCGCCGATCCGAGAACTGCCGCCGCAACGGCACTCCAATCGCTCCAATCGCTCGCAACCGATGCCTCCGCTCTGTACCTCACGGATACTTCCAAACTCCCGCTGGTCTCAGGCGTCCACTCGCCAAATAGGGGAGAAGAACAGTAATTGCCCCACTCATTGGCATCAATGCTCATCATGGGACTGAATGCCCATGGGGCAGGATTGTGGCTTTGCCAGCGCCAGCGGTATTGCCAGACGGCGGATCCAGCGCGCACAAGCCACTTGTTGCTCTCCTCTTTCAGTGACCAATGCAAAACCATTCGGCTGCGCAGGTCATCCGTATCCGACCAGTTCATGCTGCACAACAGGACCGGTGCCTCGGGCCGTAGCAGGACTGGCATGCTGGCCTGTCCCAGCCAGGCTGCAGGATCCTTCCGCACAGCCAGGCCCCACTTTACCCAATCTGGCTGCTTATATGCCAGCCGGCAAACCACACTGGCACGTGCGGAATTCAGCAAATCTTCAGGCACCGCTGCTGCCACCAATGCCGAGCGCAGCAGGCCCTGCATCCCGTTGGTCCTCTCTGAAAGGCGTGATGTGGAGAAGCAAAAGGCCTCTTGCAAGCCAAGACTTCCAAGAACGCTGGACCGGATGCTTTGTGATTTCTGTCCTGGGAAGGGCCCAGCAGGGCACCGTAGTCCAGCCCTCTGGATCTATCTCCGACCCACGCTTCAACTTCGCCTGGCCGGGGCCCGGGGCTCTCCAAGGCTCTCGAGAGCTCCGAAGCTCCGCCTGGGACGCTCGGCCGCGGGGAGTGCTGGGCTTTGGTGTCTCGCTGCGACCTCTCACATTGAGCCAAACACAGCTGCAGCTGTGTCCTAAAACATGGCGTCGCCACGGCTTGATCGGGAGCTTGTCTTTTCCGGCTCGCCCCATGCTAAGCCTGCCGAACCCAAGGCAAGCAACACCCTTTGCGTGGACCAAGGATTCCCACCTGGCTGGTGGCAGCCAGAGAGCTGTATGTTGTACAGGCTCATGGCATCCTAAACGGAAGTGATATCAGAACCCGCCTTGCAGTCACCACGTGCCTGCGCAGTGACGCCGAGGATCTCCAACTGCAGAATCGGTCCAGCCTGGCGGCTGCAACCGTCGACCCGCCCCTCTTCAAGCTATGGCGGCCATGGCCTCGGGTGCCTCAGGTCTAAACACAAGATGGCAGTCCGGGCGCCTGTGATTTCAAAAGCTTAGGCGCCTGGCTGGAGCCAAGGCCCGGGCCCTTTCCTCGCCCTGAGAGCGAAGCAAGACGCATCCTGCAAGGACCGCATCCCGGAGCCTGGGAGGCTCGGAAGGCCGGGTGCGGATGCAACTTCGGCCTAAGCGCACGCACCGCGTTGCGGTTAAGAAGGCCCTGAACACCAACCGCACCAACCGCACCAACCGCAAGGCCGTCGAAAGGACCCTTGGGCCCTGACGTTGCTTCCCGCGGCGTACGGCTGGGGCGGGCACCTTCCACTGTGCACTTCCATGACCCGACTCAAAGGAGTTAGGCGGTGGGGCGCGCACACACACCCAAACACAAACACAGACACAGCGCTCGCGCAAACCGCAAATGCGTTCTGTTTTGCTCCGCACTCCCGAGGACTGCTTTCCCGAGGCCTTGCTGGTGGCAAACCCCCTTGGTCATTCGCATGCCTCGGGCAAGTGCCTTGAGCCTGGAGAGGTTCTCTCCATCTCTGCACTCTCTGTTTCTACTCAGTCCTTGCGTTGCTAATTTAAAATGTCCGGTGCAACTGGCAACTGAGCAACTGAAGACTTCACGTAGACTCTGAATGTGCTTTCAGTCAGCCAATGCTTTGAACCATATCCACAAAACACCTAAACTGGGATTCCGAGCATCGATGCCCCAATTCAAGCACTATCTTGCAAAAGGTCGGCCACATATGTTTGCGCCTTGTGCCCGTGAGAACAACGAACAACCCAGCGTGTCGAGCAACATCTACTTTGCTGAAACACCGCACATACTTGAGCAAACCCAATTGCTTCCGCACCAAGGCACGCTCTAGCTTGGACCTTTGCATCCTTCCAAACATGCCTTCCACTGCTTTGTCCAAACCAGATCCGAGCTACTTTGTCTGCAAGCATCCACCTGCATCTACTTGGTGGCTTCTTGAAAAATCCTAAGAAATTGCTCAGAGGGTTGAGCGCCTGAGAACCCGATGGGGCGGCTTCCGCTTTCGGAGCGCACGATGAAGAAGGGCACGCCGCCTTGGACGATGCCTTGCCCCGCCTGCACCAGCTGCAGCACCTCCGCCTCCCCCGCTCCGGACCGCAGGTGTGCCAAGACCTCTTCCTCGGACAGGCCCAGCCGGTCTTTGGCCAGCTGCGCCAGCACGGCTGCGCTGGACAGATTCGCGCCTTCCTCGTACAGCGCTTGGAAAAGAACCGCCTTGGCCTTGGAAGACGCGATGCCCCGCTCCTCAGCCAACCGAACCAGGCAGTGTGCCTTCAAGGTATTGGGCCACCACCTCCACTGCTGGAAGGGCGCACCAACTTTCTTGCCCTGGTCTCTTAGAGACCGCGTCCAGCCATCACCGCCCCAGCGTCGCTTGTTGTAGGCCAAGTACTCCTCACCGCCGGCGGCAGTGCCCGGATCAATAATGTAAGGCAGCCACGACACCTCCACCTGATCTGCGCCATACTCTTCGACAGCTGCGTCCAGGCTCTTCATGCCGACATAGCACCAAGGTCAGGCAAGGTCGCTGAAAATGGAGACCTCGATCTTGGGCGCTGCGTCGGCCCCCGGCGCCGGCCGTGCCGGCCGTGCCGGCCGTGCCGGCCGTGCCGGCCGCTGCACAAAACCAAGCCGGGCCCAGGGCCCTACAAAGGCGGTCGCGCACAGAAGGCTCAAGGCGCCCAGAGAAACTCGACGGCCGGCCATGAGCTGCACGTCTTGAAGCCCAATGCCGCAAGGCACAAGGGAGGCGCAAAAAAAAGAAGAGGCCGGCTGGGCATTTTCCATAGTCATTCAAAATGGGCTGGCCCTCATTTGGTACTCTGTTTCAACACCAAGCCGATGCCCTGGCAGCCTAACTGAACCCCGCTGCTGTTGCAGATGTGTTGTTTTCAGAAGCCTCAACGCTGGAGTGCTTGTTCTACACATTTGGCAAAGCTCCCCCTACCATTGAAGCCCACGTTGTAGGGAATATTTCTGGCCTGGCGCTGGTGCACGATTGGTGCCACTGGCCGTGGGCCTCGCTCACAGAGCCACTCACATTGTGTCACATGGGTCAAAGGTCTCGAAGCTGGGCCCGGACTTGACATCATAGCCTCAAGGGCGAGCGAACCTTTGCACCCGCCGCTGTCGGCGCTAAGAACCTTGCTCCTGGATCGCGGCGGCTGAGCCTCCAAGAGCGAGGTTGACACATGGAATGTTCATGAAAATGCAATGATGAAGATAAGCAAGTAATACAAAGAGATAAAAGAAGACAATTAATGCTCAATCTCAGACTTTGACAGCTTCAGATCAAAAAGCAACTTGACTTTCCAAGTCTGACAGTTCCGACCACCAGGACCCCCAAGGGCCCAAGGGCCTTCCTGCCCGGAAATGGCCATGCTGGGCCCCGCCTCGACCTTCTGGCGCCGAGGTGGCGCGGAGGGCACCCGCGGAAGGGGAGGCAGAGCGGCCATGGCACATGAGACCCCGAGACCCCGAGAGCTCGGGCGCCACTCCGCTCCGAGCGGTCAGTACATCCGCGTCTGAGCCAGGGCTCTGAGATGCAGAGCATAGGCGCGTGCAACAAGTGGCAACAAGTGGCAACAAGTGGCAACAAGTGTCCCATTCCCCGCAACCTTTTCCCACACTCTTAGCCAGCTTCGAACCGACTGAGCTCCTGCATGCCGCGGATTTCAACACAGACGATGCTGCCGCACCCATCTCCTGAGGAAGCGCCACGTGCAGGACGGGGAACTCCCTGACTACTCTATCCATCAAATTCTCCCGCAAGGTGCGCAACTTGTCAAGCCTAGTCAAAAACATGGCTTTGACCCATGTGAACATCTTGAAAAACGTGAATTGCAATGCATGTCAGTGAAGAGCGCGCCTCACAAACGGCTGTTGTTGTTGCCCTTGGGCGCCAGGGCTTTGCTCGCTCTCTGACTCCGACTCTGACTCCGACTCCGCCTCAGACTCCGAAGCTCGCGCAGTTTCAATCGTCGCGTTCCCTCGCCTGCGGTTGAAGCCGCCAGGGTGCGCCTCAGAAAGGCGCGTGCCCCGACGGCCCTCCCAGCCAGGGGCCCGCACTGCTCAAGGTGTCCACCTCACGTTGGCCACAAGGTGGTGGACACATCGGGAGACTCACAGTGGAACCCGCCTCGGCTTCAGGTGCTTCAGTGAATTCAGGAGCTTCAGAAGCTTCAGGAGCCTCCGGCTCTTCCTCCGACTCGGCTTGGCCTCTGGGCTGGCTCGGTGACTTTGCAAAACCACGGGGAGACTGGCCTGGAAGCTCAGGCTCTTTCACACGCGGCTGGTGCAGGAACACCTGCATGCAAAAAGGCTCTGTGAACCAAAACGCCTAACTGAGTGTGATGAGTCAAAGGTCAAAGGCAGGCTAACTGGAAGCGTGGAAGGATTGATCAGTAAAGGACAACTAAGGGCCCACACACGAAAGACTTGTCAGCGCCCCAGCCTCTAATTTGTCCGCGCCATGCTCCACGTACCTCAGTGGTGAACCAGAAATCTGGATTGGCTGCATTGAGGCAGCGGACGGTGCTAGCAGGTGCCGTGTGGGCCCCCAAGCGCACGAGTTGTTCAGGAACCTCTCCTCAAGCTGCGAGGCCACGAGAGACCCTCAGTGCCTGTGAAGGCTTCCACCAGGACCCGGCCGACCACCTCGTGCTCTGGCAGGTTCTTATCCTCAGTTTCCATTGCGTCTGCGAGACTCGGCTTTTACCTAGTGTATCCAGCAAAGACTCCGTCAGGACTTGGCCGCAATGGCCAAAATGCCAGTCCACTCGCCAAGCGATGTATGCTGGCTTCTCTTGCTCACCTCCGCCGCCCCGGTCCACATCGTGAAATCAAGTCCATGTCGCGCCTTTCTTGCCTTTGCCTTTGCCTTTGCCTGACAACGCACGCAAAGTGGGAGGAATGCCTGCCTCCGGTCAAGTGCCTTTTCTGCGACCTTTACCGCCATCGACCACCCTGGATGTGTTCTCCCGCGCGATGGTCATAGCAAAGGGCGCCAAAATCAACCTGCAAATCGATGGCCGCGTCAGCACGGGGACCATCACAACGTTCCCTCTCTCCACGTCTCTCACTTGCTTTTTGTCTCTCTCCCTCTATCTTGCTCTCTCTCTCTCTCACTCTCTCTCTCTCTCTTTCTCTTTCTAGCTCTCTCTTGCTCTCTCTTTCCCTCCATGCATGTTGGCTGGCATCTGGATCGGAATCACGCACAGCAACTCAGCATGGCCAAGAAAGCTAGCCAGCCCAACAATGACATGTGCGACGCAGGCGTTGCCAAGATATTAAGGACAGCAACTCAAACGAACATCCAAAAAGTCAGCTGCAAAAATTGTGGGCGAGACTATAGGAATATGCTCTTGCGGGGCAGGGGGTGGGCCGGGAGGTGGGTCTCGCAGGTAAGGATATGTTCTTGACATTCAAGCATGTTGAAGCCCCACCCGCTCTAAACCCTGATTCAGTCACGCATCGTGGGAGTTCAGCTCATAACGGAGCTAGCTTTCGTGACAAGAGCGGCGCATGACATGACATGATTATTACTGTTGGGTGTGGCTTGGCCGCGAGGAAATGCATCGTAGACGCGCATGCAGTGGCATCAAAGTGCCGGGCCGCATCGCAAGCTCCCGGCCTCGTCTGTCTCTCTGCGCTGGCACAGGCACGCGCCAGATGAATGCGCTGCTTGTGACGCCTGGCCGGCGGCTCTGAGCTCTGAGCTCTGAGGGCAAATTGAACGGCGCGGCTCGGGCCTAGGCTGATACAGCCGCATCTCCTACACGGACGGATGCATGAGGACGTAAGTGAAGCTCGGTCCGGCGCGCTCCTCTTCTCGAATCCGTAGGTCTCGCTCCGCCCGGTCTACAGCTGCATCCACTTCTTCCAGGAGCCCGAAATCTCGCAAGAGCACCTGGGGCACAAGCCGCACTACAAAAAAACAACAACAAGCATTCAAGGTGCCGGCATTGTCAGTGAAGGCATTCAACGGGGCTACTTGCTCCGTGCGAGGCCGCTTTCCTGTGCAGCCGGACTGCACCTTGTGCACCTGGCCGTTCAAAGACTGGGGCTTGGATTGGACAGGGGCCCTTGGTGTGAGCATTCCATGGCCACGCCATGTTACCCGCGCAATCTTTTGCAGCTATCCGGAGGAGCTTGAGCTCTGGCCTCCAGCGGATGGGGCGCTTGGCAGGCTGGGCGGCTGACCGAACTTTGCAACATGGGCAGCTGTGTATAAGGCATGCAGCTTCGGGAGAGCAAAGACGTCCAAGTAGGAGTTGCATTTGAAGCACCAAAAGGAAAGGTCAGACAATGACAGTCCTATTGCATGACCCTGCTGTTCTGCATGCTCCAGCATGTGCTTGTTCTTGTACCGCGAGCACAGCACTTTGCCACAGGTCCCACAAATCCAGACCTCATCTTCCAGGCACTGGGAGCAGCGCGCGTCCATGGAGACCTCCCTCGCTGGGAGGTCGCTGAGGTGGGGGCAGTCTGTCAGGGGCACCACGGCAAACCCGGCGCTGGGATCAAACTCTTCGCCCAGCTCCCGCAGCGCTGCGGCCATTGCGGCAATGGCCGAGTCGTCCATGGCGAGGCAAAGGGCCAAGAGGCTCTGAGGCTCTGAGGCGCATTGGCCAAGGTCGAGCGGATTGAAGCTGCGCGATGCTGCGCGCGAGATTGACTGCCGCTTCCCTGGGCCCAAGCCTTGACGCATGCAGCGGAGCAGCTCCGAAGCTCGCAGGCCGGGCAGCCTCCGGGCACAGGCGTCAAAGCCATGGGTGCCATGGGAACATCTGAGCCCCCCGCGGTAGCACACAGCTTTCTCCCGGCACACCTCGCAAAGCCTGGCATGGCCAGTTGCCGCTGCCCAAAGTCTCAATGTGTTGCAAGGCCTAGGGGCAGGCATGCCGACTCCTGCGAAGCAATGGCGAGACTCACGAATTCAAGGCAGCTCCCTCTGCCTTCATCCGGTGAAGCGATCTCTTTGGCTTCAGCGGACATGTCCATGAAAGGACTTCACTTGCTATCGAAAGTCCCGAACTCCATGAGTGTCAGATGATTGCGTATTTCCTGCCAGCTCAAGGCAACCTGCCACCTGCATGCTGAGTGATGCACACGTGTGATTATTGGCTACGAACCAAGACAAGACATTGCCGTGATCGGCACGTGGCACCCAGGTCGCTCACCGAGTGTTTCTGGACAGTGCCTCGCTCTGCAAGTCCTACAGGTCCTACATCCTTGAGATGGCATCGTGCACATCTCTGGCCAAAATGTCACCACTGGCGGCTCGCAGTGGCATTGAATGGGTACAACGCCTTGCTCCATCCGAGCCGCCAGCGACAGCAGAAAACTCCATGGTTAGAAATCGGCCGCCAAGGCCAAGAGCTTCCTAATTATAGCCTTGAGATGCCTTGAGTCCTTGAGGCTTTCAAACTTGAGGGCCAAAGGCTCAGCGCTCATGGCGCGCATGCCCAGGGCACTCTGGCACAAAGGTGTGCTGAATGAATTCAAGCAAATGCAATGCCCGCAAGGTGCGAAAGTTGCAACAAGATTTACCAACAAGAACGCCTCTTTGCAACTGTCCAAAACAATGTGGGTTCTGCGTTCACTGGGTGGACTGCACTCCTGCCCTGGGCTGGGCCAGCAAAACCGCTCACACACGGAAAGCCACGAGCTGCAGCGAGTGTCACTCTGGACTTCCTGTGCGAATGTCTTGGCCAAGTCTTGGATGTCTCCCCTGGCCTCCCTACGCCACGTTACGCCACGTGCCATCAGCCCTCAGGGCTTAGGCCTCCTCAATGCTCAGCGCTCGTCCGTGAGGGGTAGTATCCTCAGAGCATCTCGTTGAGGTGGACCAATTCTTCACGGAATCCGTGTCTGGGCTCGAATGCTTCTGGAGCTGATTCAGGAGCAGCTGCTTTTCATGTGCAAATCGCAGCCCGCTGATCATGCAAGCTGTGAAGAACTCATAGCTGGAAGCCCAGGCCTCCTTAACCTCTTCTGTGAGGGCGCCCATGGAATCCTGCAGCGTCAGAGCCAAGGCCTCACCAACGCTCGCAAATAGCTCCTCCCTCACGTTGTAGTTGACATGGCGCATGCCCAGCGCATTGAGCTCCGAAACCAAAGTGGCGATGTTGCGCAAGCCCGCCACAGCCATCCCCACTGCCTCCACCACCTTGGCGAAAAGGTTGCGCATGCCAGAGCCCTCAAGGTTCTCAGGGTCCTCCTCGCAAGTCCGGTCACAGTAGCGCCGGCGCACCGACAAGGGGAAAAGGCTCTTTGTGTCTGGCTCGAGTTTCAAGAAGTGCTTGTACAGCATATCTCCCAGGTGTGCAGTCCCGAGCTCCTTCACGGCTGCCCAGCTCTGCTGCACGGTGAAGATCGTGCTGCACGATGGCACCTGGCCGAGCCTAGATGAATCCCAGCTTGACTTGACCGGGTCTCTTGGCAGTCGCGAGCGAGAGACCAGCAGTGTTTTGGAAGGATCTGCCACCTGCATGGACTCCAGCCGTGTCTTCACGGCGTCCTCCGTCTGCCTGGCAGTCTGCAAGCCACAGATCGCCGAGGAGGAGATGAAGTCATAGACGTTGACCCAGGCTGCCTCCACCTCCGGGGTGAAGCGCGGCCCCAAGTGGCTGGCCAGGGCCATGAGCAAGGCCTTGCCCGCCACGGCATACAACTCCTCCGTGGTGCCGTAGGCCACGTGGCGCATGCCAAGGGCGTGGAGCTCCCGCACCAGCTTCCCCGGGTTCCGAAGCCCGGCCACGGCCCCGCCCACCGCGTAGACCACCTTGGACCACAGCACCACCAAGGCCGAGGAGTTCTCGAAGTCATCCTCCATCTCATCCTGAAGGCAGGACCAGTCGCGCCAGCGGTTGCGCACTGCCATGGGGAACAGCACCTTGCTCCCCGGCGCCAGGCTGAAGAAGTTCCGGTAGAAGCTCTGCGCCACTGGGCCCACCCTGGGCTCGATCAAGCGCCAGCTCTGCTGCACTGCGTCGATGGTATCGGACGGGACGCACCCCGTCATTTGGGGGGCCATGGGCGTCATAGGGGCCATGGGCGATGCCTTGGGTTTGGGAGTTAGGGAGGATGCTGGGCTCCTGCCGCTCAGTCCCTGAAGCACGGGCCTGGCACGGGTCGTAGGATAGGCCGGCGCGGCCGCATGGGCCGAGGCATTGGAGGCATGGGCCGCGTAGGCAGAAGCCGCGATGGCCTGAGGACCCGCATAGCTCTGCAGCCGCTTCTTGATCTTGATGATGTGGCCCGGGAGAAAGCCCAAGGCTTTGAGGTGCGAGTCCTCAATGTCCTGTAAGGTCTCCATGTCATCAAAGCCGGCTCTGCGGATGGCCTCCGTATACTGTGACAGGCCACACTCCTGAAGGAAATGAGCCACCCGATCCATCTCGGGAGTCCGACGTGGCATGACTTCTGTGGAGTCAGACGGAGGTGTTTGAGCCTAAGCTCTCTGCAACAATCTACGTGGACTGCCATGTGGAAAGCAATGCCTTTGGCACGACTGCAAAAAATCATACAGCTGAACCAGAAAGGCAACCCTCAGCTCAACTGGCCGTATGCTTAGCATGCACAGGTCTGGCTGTTTGAGAAGTGATGAAAGCTGAGCAATTCGCATGGCAACAAATAACAAACAAAAAGCACCATGAGATACCATGAGCAATCGTGTCTGTAATGCACCCAACAAGACGTTGCGCTGCCTGCCCTCAATAACGCGATCTCCAGCCAAATAACGACAAGGATCAGTGTCATGGCATATCTTGTTTAGCCATGCACTTTGACCTACCTATCATGCGCCTGGTGCCTGATGTTCCCAAGCCGTTTTCACACACGCACATCGCACATCTCTCCAGATCACAAAGACCTCAGGACTCTTGCAAACTTTCCAAGGCAGCGGACACGAGGCGTGCTACCTTCCACACCTCTTCTCCAAAAGCTCTTGTCTTTGCTGCTCCCTGCCGCAAAGCAGACTGCGCTGCGTCATCAGCTCGAATGCTCAACTCGCAGAAGTCACGGCGTAGCTTCAGCTCTCTCCCCATAAATTCCGAGCCAACGGCAACCTCAGCATGAAAGGGGAAACTACACGTTGAATCTGATCGACAAAAATCATGCCGTTCATCCACTCGGCGAGCAAACATAATATGGTCTTGCAGCCAACGAGATGCCTTTTTGGCTGGAGCTGGAGTTTGGTTCTGGACATCGAGTAGTGCCACATTACCACCTGCAATCTTCTCAAGAAGTTGGCTGTCCGCTGGCAGTGAGTCCGCAGTCTCTATCTTGACGCGGACGTCATGCGAAGCAACCAAATCTTGCTCGTCAGCCTTCAGTCGATCACCACTGCCAAATATTGTGGCGTGCAGCCAGCAAAGTCCACGCTCACAAACACGCGTTGGGCGGAGGTCAGAAGCAAGCTTCACATTCAATTCGTAAGCTTGCGATGCCGCTATAGACAGTGACCAACCGGCTTCCACATTGTCGGCTGATACAGCTTCGAAACCGGCTTTCTGCAGTGCTTCCATATAGAGCTCAAGGCAACGCTGCTGAAGGTGGCTAGATGCATTCCCTGGCAGAAGGCCCGGGCTGAAGGATGCACCAACGCCTACCTGTCTCTTCTTGCGCTGCTTTCGTGATTTTTGCCCGGCTAATAAAGAACCTGTGGACGGGGGAATGACTATCATTTTCATCTGCTTGTTGTTAGGCTCAGATTTGGGAGGGAGGGTGTCAGGCGGTCCTCGCACGCATGTCTTCCTGTTGCGACGGTGCTTCACCAAAGCTTCCTCCAACTCGCTGATTGACAAGGTCAATGCTGTCTCAGGAAGCTTGTCAAGCACATCAGTCAAATAACAGGTGCCAAAGCGAACCCGCACACTCAACGACTCCATGTGACCGCGGCTCTCGGTCGGAAGCTTTGCCATTTGTGTTGACCAAAGGTCCAAAAAGCGAGCTTCAGCGACTGCCTCCCATGCATAGCATGTTGGCTCCCGAGTGTTCAGGACAGGTAGCATGCGCTCACATGCTGCGTGGCTGGGCAAGTGGGAGCCCAGCCAAGTTTGGAACCTCACTCTGGCCGATGGGCAAGATGCCCCCTGGAAGAATAGCCGGGTTGAACCCTCCATGAAGTATCGAGAGGCCTTCGTTGCCGGCATACCGATTGCACGTGCTGCTGAGACATACCGCTGCAACTCACGCTGCAGTTGTACAATTTGAGCAGCAGAGCCCGACGCATGCATCAACACGCGGTCGGAGCCATTGATTTCCTCAAGCTTCACGAGTGCTGCAGACGCAGCTTTGAGATAAGCTTCGTGAAAATCAAAATGACCCTGGAGCTTGAAAGACAGAGCGCGAGAAAGCTGGCGTGTGATTGCGGTCTTGTTGCGTGCCGATGCTGCAACACAGGCTGTAGCAAAGCTGCGGGTAGTCGCCAAGACCTCCAAGGTGCGATTGGCCCGATCCCTGATCATGCTGACAACTTCTCCTGAAATGTGGTGCTGCGGTGAACCTGCAATCGGCCATGTGAAGGCTATCTCTCCCTGCAGGTCTGTCAAAGCACGTAGGAAGTTGAAGATTTGAACTCCAAAGGAGGCCGAGTCAGTCCCAGTCATCTGCGAAAGGCGGTCTTGCAAGCTCCTCAACGCGGGGCCCGGCTTCGCTGATGGTGCCTCTGGAGAACACCGGCCAAGGTGTTTGGACACATGGAGTACCACCGCTTGCCACTGCACAGGGATCAGCGGCGCAGCAGTTTGATATCCATCTGCTTGCTCTTGTGAATGTGACCGCACCAAGCCACTGCTCCTAGCCCAACTGGAAAGCAGAATGCCCATGCCGAAGCGGACAAAATCTGCCTGCAGGCCTTGAAAATATCGTGCTTTGCTGAGACCATCAGGGTTGAATGTGATGTCCACGCGTACCTCCTCCGCATCGAGGGAGCTGGCCACAACCAGCCGCACCAAAGGCACTTGAGATGTCATGACCTCTTCCTTGCGCATAGCCAGGTCATCCACAGCAGGGGATATGACGGTCTGTAAGAAGTGGCGCGCTTGACTGGTCTCATCCAAACCTGCGAAGGTGGCGAGCAGCGCTTCGGGCACAAAAGGAGGCTGATGCGCAGCAGCCTCCGCAATAACGCAAAGATCAAGATCTGACTGTGCTTCGCAAAAGCCAAGGGCCGTGGAGCCGAACACATGCACCGAGAAGACGCTGGGCGAAAGCTCTTTACCAACCTTCTTGCTGCAAAACGCATCAAGTGCATGTTGGATAGCATCAGACACTGACATCCTCAATGCAGTTATTTCATGCAGCGAAGAGAGCTTCTCCAACAAGGCCTCTCGTGCAGTTTGGCCAACGGTTCTGTTCACCCCAGCAGAGGATGGCTCGTCCTTGGCGCAACCAGCCTTAATGTCGCAAAGAATGTCACCCACGATCCAGGCGAATGTCCGGCATGACGATGCGCCCTTCTGCGACTCTAACGCATAAGCTGCCTCGTACCACGCTGATGCTTTCTGCTTGTGCTGAGACTCCGGCAAGTCCATGAAAAAGACGGATCTGTGTTTGCGCAGGAGGTGCTCCAAGTGTGCTTTGATCTGCAACGAGGCCTTGCCTCGATCCGCAGTCGTTGGCCATCGCAGAGCCGTAGCCAGGCAGGCTTCTGCTTCATCGCGCAGGCCATGTGAAATCAGGAGCTGGTCAAGATCTCTTCGAAAGTTGGCCAGAGCCCTGACTGCCGACTTGGCCCACGACGCACGACCTGGCAGAAGTAGCGTGTGATCAATGTCAACGGAGGTCAAGGCTTGGAAGTCGGCATCCAAGGACGTGCAACGGCGGAACAGAATTCCAAGAACTTTCTCTGAAGTGTACGTGTCTTTCTCAAGCTTTTGCATGAAGTCGGGATAGCCCTGCTTCTTCACCTCCAGGATCGTGTCCTCAGGCACCTGTGGGGGAATGCCCGTCTTTGGGAAATCTACTGCCAAGGACTGCCCCTTGGCCAACTCAATTGCCAGCGGATCAAGCGCTCCTTGCGGTGAGTTGTCACAATATGCCAGGTGCAAATGCGCAATTTTGCCAAGTGTGTCGTTGGAGACCACGTCACAGAAAAAATCTGCTAGGCCCTCTTCACTGAAAGTGGCCGGTCGCACCTCCATAGGCCCACCAGCTTCACGCAGCAAGGCATCATAGTCAAGAGCAGGTTGCATGAGTTCAAGCGGCGGCACCAAATCTGGAGCCCAAATCACCGAAAACTTGTCTCCGTCAAGGTCACCTCCACTGCAACATGCGGCAACTGATCGTTTCCCGGTGACAGGAAGGACAAGAACATTGCTCAGGAACCGCAGCTCCTCCTTGTCCACAGCACGCAAATGCTGAATGTCCCCAGGGTGCAGGCATGGATTTCGGTATACCAGGACCTTTGCTTCCACCACAAAATCAGTTGATGCACCCCCTTCTTCATAGGCACACTGCACGAAAACCTCGCCCTCCTTCAGCACCCCGACGGGATCTGGAACACCCAGGAGCAAGCATCCCTCGCTCCGCGGGATCGGAATCCTCGCCTTCGTGGCGAGATCCCGGACCTGGATCCGGTAAGACTTTGCAAGGAGGGAGGCCCAAAAAGGTTCATCGATCAAGCCTGTCTCGCGGGCAGCAGTTGGCACCATCTGCTTCAACTCTGAGACTAGCCTGGAGTCGAGCTCTTGCGCTGCTTGTTCCTGACTTGTAAAACACTCCGCAGCATGTTGAAGCGCCTCTTCCTGCCTGCGAACAAGTCCAGCACACACATCCCACTGACCAAAGGATTGCGCTTGCAAGCTCATCAGCAAGGTGATGATCTCGCGGTTCAGGTGCACAGGATGGTGCTCAGCAATGCTCACTACGCAGAAGGCATGATCCTTGCACTCAAATTTCCGCATGGAAGGTCGACACAGCAATCTGGTTCTACAGTCAGTTGACAGCAGCTCATGATCGTCGTCAGGGACCACAAGCGCAACGCCTTTCAAGCCTGCCCACCTGAACTGAAAGGCACATGGCACCGACTGCAATCCAAGTGACACAGCCACCTCCTTTCCCACTTTATATGGCATCTTTCCAGCACCATCGGTGAAAGAGGAACCATTGCTTGCCGCAATGTCATTCCCCAGGCTTACCTCGTCAGGACGGATCATCAATGTTGGTGTGTCCGCAGTGAAGTAGAGTCCCAGCCGTGAAGAATATTTTGCGATGGATGTGAAGGATTCTCCATTTGCGACTATTGCATTTCGCAGGCGCCTCACCTCTTCAATGGATTCGGCTTCTACAAACATGGCAGACTGCTGTCGCAGCTGTGAAGCAGAGCAGCCAAGGTAGCGGAAAGTCTTCCCACCGATGACAATACCTCTAGCCATCACCTGCTTTATGTGGGGCAACGTGTCTGTGCCTTGCAGCTTCTGCATCTGTTCCTCCACGAAGTGCACGGCAAGGAAGCTTGCATCGGGGAATCGACGCAGTAGACGCGAAGATCGAACAGGCGCAGGAGGTAGCAGTCTTAATCGTGAAGGAGTCACAAGGGCTCGTTTTAGCATGACGTGATTCTCAGGCGCTGGCTGATGCAACTTCTCGAACTCTTCTTGTGTCATGCCCTTCCACGCTTCCAGAGCGGATTGGAAGATGAGCTTGCAGTCCGCCCAATATGATGACTCGCAGGCACGGACAACCGCATAGACGGCTGAAGTCGCAGCTACGACTTGCTGGTCCCAGCCAAGCATGGGGTTCAAGCTTCCCAGGCGGTCATCAACGGCCTCACAGCATCGCTCGACAATGGCCTTCTGGGAGTCTGGAGACAGTGCCGCGCAAGTGCTCAGCACGCCCAGCGACCAGTGGCACTCCCTTGCCAGCGGCTGCTCAGCGTTCAAGCAGGGTAGTGGCTTCGCAAGGTCAAATCTGTGCTCGATTTTCACATCCACTATGTGAGTATCAAAGGTTTGGACTGGCAGCGCTTGTGGCTCATGCAGGAGGCGACGCAAATCCTGCGTTTCCGCAGCTCCATCCAGTGGAAATGCAATGGCAATGACAAAGTTTTGTGAGAAGGCCGCGAGAAGCGGATGATCGAATCCGGACAAACGCTGCGGCCTCTCCTCCCCCACGCTCACTCTTGGCACAGATGTCATAGGAAGATACAGAGTGGCCACGCCTTCAGCCTTGCCCCAGGATACCAGGCCGAAGCCGGCAAGACTTCGCGCGTCAACGCAGATGGACAGAGTCTCTGTGATGTTTTGCACGCGCCAGTCGCAAAAGATTTCAACTGACCCACGGTGAGCAAAGTCCACCTCGGCATGCTCTGCAATCAAAAACTGTTCCGCAAACGTCTTTCGATCCAGAAATCTACCAAGCCTGACTTGACCTGTCCCACGACGCAAGTTCACAGAATGCCTTGATGGAGCTGCCTCCACTTTCTGCATCCAAACACCGTTCGTGCCTGCGGGCAAACTGAAATCCCAGCCATGACAAATGTTTTGATACAATGTCCTGCTGCTGCACTTTTGGCTGTGCCACACGTTCTTGCAGCTCAACAAAACTACCACGTCATCAGTGCCAGCAATGCCGGGCGTGCCAATGGCTGCTGCGCTATCTTTCAGGACCTCTCCTCGTTGCACCTGCAGACCCAAAGCAGCACCTTCCAGACTGCTGATCAAGTCGTTGACGTCTGTGGCTCCGAAGCAAAGCATCTTGACCAAAGTACGTTCGCAAGTCTCCCAAGTCTCCCATCTGGCACAGTTCGAAGAGCTTTGCCCCGGAGATGCGCTTTGTCCTTTGAGCTGCTGGATGCGGTCCATGCTGACCTGTGAAGGCACTCGGTCCTGCATTGTTGCTTGCTGCAGGACCGAGTCCATGAGCCGCTCCCGCTCTTCCATCTCCAGAACGCGTCTCCTCATTTCACTCGGAAGCATCACGATGAGGCGACTATTTGCCTTCCGCGCGCGGCCTCTGCTTTGCACAAGTGAAATCAAGGAGCCAACCCCTTGGAAGCGAACTACCAGGTCACAAGCTGCAACATCTAGCCCTTCTTCCAGGACAGACGTTGATACCAAGAGCCGGACATCCCCATCTGCAAATGCTGCTAGGGCAACATCCTGGCCTCCATGCCAATCCATGCCGTCGAAGCCACCGTGCCCAAAAACAACCTCTGGCTTGAACCTATCCGCAACTTCCAAATCTGAAGCCAGGGCCTTGCATAGACGATGGGCCGCAACGCGCGTGTCCACAAACACGATGATGCGACTCTCAGAAGGCATGGCCTTGACCCGCGCAAGGAGTTGCTCCAGCTGCGGCGATCTGCTGCTTTGAGGAAAGGACCGAAGAGCTTTTGAAAACCAGTCAGGACAGGCAACCAACTGCTGCGTCAGGAACTCCTTTCCATCACAAGGGCCTAAAGTCAAACACACTTCGATGGCCACCACAACTTGCTGCATGCAGCGAATGTCGTCGAGCGCCTTCGAAGACCCACTCCTTTTCAACCTCAGCGCATCCTCAGCAGATCGGAGGAGACCTCGAAGACGCCCCAAAGCGCCTGGATCTTGCATCAGCGTCTCCGCATCGACGTCTACTTCTAGCTCGCGGTGCATGGAAGTCCCTTGTTGCACGCATGCCACTAGGCACTGCACTGCTTGCCGCTGCTCAGGAGTGGAATCAACAACCAGCCATTGTGTGCTCTGCTGATTTGGCAAAGCCGTGGCAGGTTTAAAAACAACTGCACCACCGGATGCTGCCCGCAGGCCCTGCAGCCTGCTAAAAGCCATGTTTGCAGTGGTAGCTGTGACGGGTGATGCAGTAAGACCAAGCAAGCGAGGTCGAGGCTGGTCGGGTGTACCAGGTAAGTTGCGCACTGCTGATAGAACTTTTGAATAGACATGTTCACCAGTGGCGTGGTGCGCTTCGTCCACAACCACCACTGAAAATTGTTGTAGCGAAAGCTCTTCATTCCGCAATATCTCAACAAGAGCCCCACCTGTCACAACCAAGACGTCGAAGCCTCCGTCTCGCAGCTTGTGCAACATGCCTTTGGTCTTGTTCTCGCCACAAAGTTGACAAGTCCGAAGCCCGGTCTCTGCTGCAATTGCTGACGCTTGTTGAAACACCAAAGGAATACGGTCAACAACAAAAAGGCCCATGTGGTTGCGGTTCAGTCGAGCCATCCGAGCGAGGACCATTGCAGCTACCAAAGTCTTGCCACATCCAGTTGGCATGACGACAAGCAGGTCTCGTGCCAACGCTTCGACGTAGGCTTCAATTTGGTAGGACTTGGGGGAAGTCTCTGTGACGTCCCAAGCAAAATGTTGCACCTGGGTCGCAAATGAAATCGGAGCAGCCTGCTGCGCTCGCGCTCTCTTGGTCGGAGTTGAGTCAACCTGAGCGTCGCCAAAAAAATCGTAGTCATTTCGACGCGCAATGTCTGAGAATTGGCTTTTCTTGGATTCCTCAGCCCACTTCTGCTTGCGCCCCAGCGGAGTTCCAAGTACGACGACAGAGTCTGTTGCAAAAGCTGCAAATGATGTGCCATTAGGCCCAAAGGGCAGATCGGAGCCGACATTGGATCCACAACCGCCACATGTGATTTTGGCCTTCTTCTTTCCTGGGTCTTGAATCTCCATGGTCCTCTTCAGCAACATACGACATTCTGGCTTAAAGATCAAATGAACTTCACGTTCGCTCTTTACATAAAAGCATAGGCCGCCAGCTGCGGCCAAGTTGTTCTGACACGTCACGCATTCCATCGCAGCATTACTGGTGTCTGGGACGGTGTCATGAAAGATGCAAATCCATGTTTCAGCATCCTAGTCTGAAGTTACGACCACCGTGCAAGCCCGTTTGATAGGAATGCAATCAACCCTTATTCGCAGATTATTTCTTGTGGCAAACGGTCAACAAATGTCTCTTGATCACGCGACTTCCCTGCCTTGGCAGATTGTTGAAGCATCCTTTGCTGTTTTTGGCATGGTTGCAAAGGGGAAACTGCATGGAGCTGCCAATCTGCTAAAGGAAGATACCCACATGTTCTTGACTGCCGTGTTTCATGTTCTGGACCGAAATGGCTGGCAAGCTTTGTTCGGCCAAACAACACCGCCACAGCCTCTCACGGGAAGACTTGCCACGCGACAGCATATACATATGCACATATATCTGGCACCCTCCTGTGGACCGACGGACCCCTACGGAATTACAGCACACATTGGTCTCTTGGATCTATTTCTCAAATAACACAGCGCGCCGATATCGACGAGGCTAAGGAGCCTTGAGCCCATGAGCCGCATCTCCGTAGAGGCGCGCCGACAATGACACGAGGTGGACAAACTTTCTACGTAGTATGGAAGATTACCACTGTGAGAACTGAGGGGAACCTGCGTTTGTCCCAGCAGTACCACCTGTACCGTCCCTCCCATATCCCGTGAAGCAACCGCAGGCGGGCGGCAAGCTCAATGGTTTGTTTTGCACTCAACAGAGATTTGGAGTTCCTGGTTGTGTGGGGTGACCTGGGCCAAACATTCACTGGACTATGCCAAGAAGCGGGTAGGTCACGATGCAGTCACGCATGGTGACCGAGAACAAGCTTCCAGTTGAAACCAACTACTTGTTGAGCCTGAATCGTAATATCCAATACCCAAGAGTCACACAAGGAAAGCAATAATGCTGGGGGTTTTGTAAAGGAGATATTGCAGTTGGCGTTGTGGTCACGGATAACAATGAAAAAATGGCTCAGCAGGCATGAAGTGACTGAATGCATACGGCTGTGTGAAATACACTTCTCCCTTCAGGGCCCAGTCCGTAGGATTTTGGCCTGCGGCCCGGGAATCCTTAGCATCCCCCATCCTGGACTTAGGTTCATCCTAGGGTCAGCGAAGAAACCACAAGAAACCCAGCAGGCCGTCGCAATCAGTGTTCACGCATTTTCCTCGGAATGTGAAACCTCTCTGCACGCAGATTTGGTACTCACATCAAAGGAAACACACAATGCTACATGTCATTTTTACCAGACCTCAGCCGCAAAGGGAAAATGAAATACACTCACTGCGTGCCAATGCAAATTGCCAGAATCCAAGCATATGCAGAGATCGCAATATCGTCAATGAAGTCATACCAGCGACCAGTTGCACGCAAAAGAAAGATTACCATTGTGCATAGTCCTCTGCATGCACATCACCATGATTGGAAATTTTCAGCTTCTCATGATAGATTTGGAGAATGGCTCTACCATGCCTGTCTCTCGCCCAAAATGTCAAGAATCTACCGCCACGCTTCCGCCACACTTCCGCAACACTACCGCCACACTTCCGCCACGCAGCCGCCACACACAACCGCCACACTACTGCCACGCTACTGCCACACTTCCGCCATGCTTCTGCCACGCTTCCGCCACGCTGCCGTCACACTTCCGCCGCGCTACCGCCACACTTCCGCCACGCAGCCGCCACACTTCCGCCATGCTTCTGCCACACTTCCGCCACGCAGCCGCCACTACTGCCACACTTCCGCCACACTACTGCCACACGTCCGCCGCACTACCGCCACACAGCTGCCACACTACCGCCACGCTACCGCCACACTACTGCCACACTTCCGGCGGCTGCGTGGCAGAAGTGTGGCGGAAGTGTGGCGGTAGTGTGGCAATAGTGCGGCGGAAGTGTGGCAGTAGTGTGGCGGTCGTGTGGTGGTAGTGCAGCGGCAGTGTGGCCGTAGTGTGTGGCGGTAGTGTGTGTGGGGGTAGCGCGGCACACTTCCGCTACACTTCCGCCATGCTGCCGCCACGCTTCCGCCACACTGCCGCCACACTACCGCCGCGCTACCGCCACCCGCCACACTGCCGCCACACTACCGCCACCCGCCACACTGCCGCCACACAGCTGCCACAGTGCCGCAACACTACCGCCACACTGCCAACACGCTACCACCACCTCAAAAGCATGGTAGAGCCTTTCTCCAATGATAGATGCCAGATCCATCTTCATGAACTTGCGTCCCATGCATCATTCCTGTAGAAAGCCAAGCGATCGCAATTGAAGGCAAGGGCAATACATCGGAAAATGATGTCACTCATCGGCATTGCACTCTGCTTTGCCAGAGAGAACTTGAACTGCTCCTGCTTCACCCCCAGCCCTTTCATCTTCAAAAAACGACGAATAATTTTGTTGGCCGTTTCATCTTGGTTCTGAACATGCTCAGAACACGTGGGGCTGTAGCGACCTGAATGGAAGGAGGAGTTGGAACGTTGGAGTCATCCACGTCCGTGAGGTTCCAGTCATCGCGCGTCGTATGGGATAGGTACGGACAGCAAAGTCGCCATGTCGTCCTCTGCAGCTCAACCGCAAAGTTGTATTTGTGGGTTTGCTCCTGCGATGATGCGCTGGAGCTTCTCGGTCCGTGGATGGAGGAACTTCGCGAGCGCAGCTGGATTGCGCTTGCTCTTCATTTGGTGCTTCCATCTCAATGTCCTCCTCATCTGACGAAGAATGTCCTTCAGGCAATAGCATCATCCGAAGGCGGCTGCGAGCGCACTCGTTCTCCTTGGCCTTCTCCTCGTTCTTACATGGTCCTTGTTCTTGGTGGGACTCCTTGCCGCAAGCAGCGCCACATTCAACTCCTCTGCGCGTGTGTACAGGCTCTCAAGGATACTCAGGAGTCCGGCTTGCTTCTGAGCCACGTCGTCCATCTTGGGCTGCCTCTAGCACAACCCGGCGTTCCTGGAAATGTTGGTCTTCACGACTTCGACATATGGGTTCGTGTACTGGAGCTTGATGTCCCGAGATTGCTGCCGGTGCATCCATAGCTCTGGGACTCCCGTTCTTCGTCCTGTTGGGACCAGTCAAATGAGCAGTGACTTTCTCCCGGAAGTACTTCAAGAGCGATGCTCCCATAACAGAGCAGTATGTGAATACGTCGCGGTCAGCTCTTTGCCAAAATAGGACATGACATCAGCTCCACGCCATCAACCAGCTTCTCCTCATTGTCAGTCTTGAAAATCGCATCGACTCATTCCTGTCCCAGGAACCAGCGCATCCACGACGCATACGCCGCGTTGCCGCAGCCACGCCCAACGCGATACTTGGTCTTCTTGACATCCACGCCATCCTGATTCCGTGGTCCTGCTTTCCGTTGTTGTTCCGGACGGGACCCTGGAAAGCTTCGCGGTCCAGAGTGATGCAACCCCAATCGGGAAAGATCCTTCGCAAAAGGTTGGTCGATCAACGAAGTGATGACGGTCTTCACCTTCGCGCCAATGTCGTTGTAGTGGTCGCTAACCGGAAGATTGATGACCAGCGAACCCTCTGCAAAGAACCTTTATCCTAGGGTTCGATCAACTCCTTTTGGCGCGTTGCCACTCTCGATCTGCCATTTCGCATTGCAGTTGACAAGGCCGGACTGTATATCGGAGGTATTTGCGATTGCACCACCTGACCACTGCAAAACTCACACAGGCACGTGCGAACATCCTCAAGCGGGTACCGCCTCGTTCTCCCGTCGAAAAGGTCGTTGATCTAGGCACCTTGGCTTGGCTCCCGTCTCTCCTCGTGGTACGTGTGCGGCTTCCGGAAGTGCGCAGGCAAGTCAAGATGAAAATGGTACTTCACATTGCCTCCCGACGCTCCCTGCGGTACGTTGAAATGCAAAGGTGGCAACCCGGCGCAGGGCTTCTCGAGGTCATACACGTACGTTGCACCCGGCGTCAGTGTGTTGATCCGCCATCAGTTTCTTCTGCTACGCGTGACAGCCTGAAGTCTCCGTTGCAATATCCGCCATCGGACAATCCGGACACCTGTCTCCAGATTAGGTTGTTGTTAGACACAATCACGCCGGCGCCCTTGCAATGACGCGACTCGCCACGAGCATGAGGTTGCCTGCGCCATCATGGAACTCAGGTCTTGTGTTGACGCTGACAATCACATTCTGCTTGACAACTCCACCGGCACACCAGAGAGACCCTCATAGTTGGGCTCGGTGTTGGCCTTCAGTTCACGTGTTGTTTTGTCTTACATCACACGTGCCAAATGGCCGTTTGGGTCAAATACACTGCCTCCTGGCGCGTGCAGGAGGTTCCTGGTGGGGTCTGGGCTTGGTTGTGTTCTAATCTTGTGTTTTGCAACTTGCTGTTCAACCTTCACTTCAACTACCTCTTTCTACTGTCACGTCCTTCAACCTCGTCATCAACCACATCTCCCCTGAGTTGCAGAGGTCCCATCTTCGCCCAAAACCGCAGATGGCACACCCTGGATTGCTACATGGTTGACATGACGGCCAGTCCGAATCTCGACCAGCAGCGGTCAGTTGGGTGGTGCGCCGTCGCCACTCCAGACGATGACGCGTACGCTGAAGCGCTCCTTCCAGGCATCGGGCGCCGCAACGTGCGCCGCTTCGAAGATAGCGTATTGGTCAGCGGCACTTACGCTGTTATGGATTGGCCATGCGACAAAAGAGCGCGAAGAAGACCACCAAGACAAATCAGACCCATATGCAGGACAGTGGCTGGGACAAACACGGGTACATAATGTCAACGCGCCACTTGCCTTTCAGCTGAGAGGATGTCCGGGAAATCAGAAGCAAGGGTTCGGCGCCGAGCTAGCTCAAGTATCAGTGCACGTTTGGATTTCTCTGTATGGCTGCGTGGTTGAATACGGTTCAGTCTGGAACACACCCCTGCGTGACAGTTGAGTTCACAACGAAAGGAACCAACCATAATACCATTGACATCTCAGACACGAGCACCGTTTGGCCCACCTTGGGAAGACCGTCATGAATTGCCGCGCACAGCGACAGTGAGCCA